GTATAGAAGGGAAAGAGGCCTGTCATGCTATAGCTGCACTCTGTGAAGTTTGTTCCATTGACTCTTTAATATCTAACTTCATACTTCCTTTGCAAGTAAGTTTTTGAGGATACTTTGTTGTGTGCTACCATAATAAATTTAGTTTGAGTTGTCCTTAATGCACCACTTTTTCAACTTTTCATCTACTTTAAGTTTTGGACATATGATCTTCAAATGCAAATATACTGGTATATGCTGATATTATGGCTCTTTATCTTGTCTGTTTTTGTTCTCAACTTGATGGATAAAACTATTTATGCTTTGTCACTTTGTTACATTATCAGACATGCATATTCTGTTCCATGTTTTTGTCAAAAGATAAATTTAACTTGTCTAAATTTTCAGAATGCATTAATATTTTTTGATAGCAACAATAACAACTTGCCTTTATCCAACTAAGTGAGGTCTGGTACATGAATCCTTTTTCTCCATCGTGTCCTATTTTCATTTAATTCTAATAAATTAAGATCATTTTTTTTAGAACATGCCCAAGTTTTTATAGGTCAACCTCAATTTCATAACACAAGTCAAATCCAAAACATCTACTCTCTTAACTAGGTTGACTCCTCTAATTTTGCCTGCCACCGGAGCTAATTCAACCGGTTGACTCTAATTTTGCCTGCCACCGGAGCTAATTCAACCGTTTCACACATAAATTAGTTTCATATTTTGTCCTTAAGTGTAAAGCTACTCATCCACCTGAGCATTTTCATCTCAACAACACTTAGTTTTAGGCTTCTTTTTTAGAGGCCAATATTCTACGCCATAAAACATTGCAAATCTCACCACAATCTTATTAAATTTTCTTTTAGGTCTATGCGGTACTTTTCTATCACACAATAGGCCCGATGCATTCCTCCATTTCAACTACTAACTTGAATTCTACTAATAACATCTCCATTCCCATTTTTATCACCATCACTTGGAACAATAGACCTGAGATATCTGAAGCATTTACTCTTTTTAATTACTTGATCACCCATTGTACAACCCTGCTACTAGATCTACTATTACTAAAATTACTACTACTAAAATTACGTTTCATATATTCAGTTTTAGATCTACTCAAACGAAAGCCTTTAGACTCTAAAGAAAACTCATATCATAGCTTTTCAAAAAAAAATTATGTTAGAACTCATATCATAGCTTTTCAAAAAAAAATTATGTTGGCTGTCGGCTACCCAAAGTAACCCTCAACTTTTTACATTCGTGATATGTAACCTGACAATGATAGTGTTGTATATGATTTTTGGATTTTATTTTAAAAATAAAGCTTAATTTTATGTCTAGAAAATGATGGTCATCTAACCACCAAGAATTGTAGAGAAAAAGAAAAATACATAATACTAGATTGATATAATATAGTGTTTTAGATTGCTAAATTCTTTGAAATATGAAGAATATCAACACAACAACAACAACAACAACAAA